CCCTTCTTTGGAATGGGAACAAATAGGTTTAAAAAACAATTTAAACCTATGTAAATTGTTTTATATAGCAGATTTAAAAACAAAACAGGTACTCTTCTTTATGAAGTCATCACCAGGCAGAAATCCAATAAATGTGTATGATCAGCTCAATACAACTCATTGCTGTCAAGTCAGAACTAACTCACAGCTGACCCTCCTCTGGGTTTCCGAACATGTAACTCATAGAAGAGACTGCTCATCTTTCACCCTCCACACTCCTGATGGATTCAAACCGGGAAACTCCCCATAGACTACACAACTAGTTCTCCCTTAATGTATGTGATATCAGTTCTTTAAAAGATAAAGACTTAAGACCAATCTCCTCTTGCCAAAGACTTTCTGAATGTCAAAGAGCCAAAAAGACTTTTATTGTCACTTATTTATGGTCTGTCTTGTAAAAAAAAAAAAAGCAGCAGCAACTCAGCACACGTATATAAACTTCAGAATCACACTGATATAGTCAATGAATGACAGTCAAAACTAATAATTATCTCCCTTAAGAATTTCATAAAGTTTACTCCCCTGTGATTAACTGCCTCTGAAAACCAGCTTGAGTCAGTGATGGGGCAGATTCAACTCTATGGTTAGCAGAACCACCATCTTGAATAGCTCCTGTGGAGCTTCTGGTGGGTTCTAACTGCTGACCTGGTTAGCAGCCAAGTGTCCTAACCACAGAGCCACCAGGATCTTAACTTGGTGATCCACAGGATCTGTAGGATCTCAGAAAGGCTCAGAAAATGAAGACAAAAATGCCTACAAAGAAGGTGAGAATTTGAGTGGGGCTGTAGAAGGAAGGGCTGGATGAAAGTCTGAATAAAAAGTATTTGTTGTTGCAAGGTACTGTCAAGTTGGTTCCCGCTCATGGGAACCCTATTTACCACAGAACGAAACATTTCCTAGTCCCATGCCATGCTCACAGTCTCTTGCTGTGTGCTTAAGCCCATGCAGCCACTGTGTGAATCAGTGCACTGCACTGGGAGTCTTCCTCTTTTCACTGACCCTCTGCTTTACCAAGCGTGTTATGCCCCTCTTGGTAACATGCCCAAATAGGTGAGATCAAGTCTTGCCATCCTCATTTCTAAAGACAGTTGCTGTAACTCTTCCAAGGCAAAAAAGACAAGATGTATTTGTTCTTTTGGCAATCACAGTATACTCATATGTACTGCCAACATCACAATTCAAAGACATCATGCCTTCTTTGCTCTTCCTTGTTTACTGTCCAATTTTCACATGCATATAAGGTGACTGAAAATCCAGGACTTGGTTCAGGTCCTCAAACTGACATCTCTGCAGATGAGCCCAGTACAATCTGGATCAAAATAAAATTAAATTCTAGCCAACTTCACTCTTTTCTGTATCTATCATGATCTTGCTTATTGGTCCAATGGTAAGGATTTCTGTTTTCTTTATGGTGCTATGTACTGAACACTTAAAAGTTACAGTATTTGAGGTTCATAAGTATGAGTTTGAATTTGTCTTCATTTTCAGCAATCAAGGCTGTATAATCTGCATACTGCAAGTTGTTAATGAGTGTTCCTCCATCCTGATGCCACATTCTTCTTCACATAACCTAGCTTCTTGAATTTTTTGTTCAGTACAGACAGAATAAATATGGTGACTGTATATAACCTTAACATACACCTTTACTTATTTTATTTTTTTTAACCACAGATAGATTAATTTATTTTGGTTACTATACAATCTTTCATTCACCAACCAAGATATCCTCAAATATACCACCCTCTTTCCTTATTTTAAACCATGCAACATCCCCTTGTTCTGTTTAACAACTGCTTCTTGGTCCACATACAATTCCATTCCTCTTGTTATGATCCACATAATACAATGTCTTTGTATAATCGTAATACACAGGTAAGCATTTTTCTAGTATTCTCTTGCTTTCAGCCAAGAACCATCTAAAATCAGCAATGGTAGCTTTCATTCCATGACCTTTTCTGAATATGACTTGAATTTCTGGCAGTTCCAGGCACTAGAAGCAGAGGTATAATGGGAGGATAAATAAGGTTACAAAGTGAATTCATTCTCCAAACCCACCACCACCCAGTTCTCACAACATCTGTTATTAGTTGGCCATAAAGTCAATTCCAACTCAGGCATCTCTGGATGAGTTCAAATCACCAGTCTTTCAGCTAGGAGTTGAACACTTCACCATCTGCACCAGGTATGTACTCAGAGAACACTGCTGCTGTTGCTGGTGAGCACTGCTGAACTGATTCCGACTCATAGCTACCTTGTAGGGACAAAGCTGAAATGTCTCATAGTGTTTCCAAGACTATAATCTTCATAGAAGCTGATTGCCAATGTTACTCTCACAGAACTGTTGGTGAGTTCAAACCAATAACCTTTCAGTCAGCTGTTGTGAGCTTAATTATTTGTCCCACCCAGGATTCCTCCAACACTGGCAGTCAGACTTAAGCTCCCAAGGAGGAAATTAGTTTCTGGAAAGAACAGATCATTAACAGTGAAGACCAACAGATACTGACATTTCAAGGGTATCCCAACAAAACAAGTCTTTACATTATACCCTAAAGTTAAAAAACAGTTAAACTCCAGCTCATTCCCCAACTCCATCAAGTAGTTAATGGTCATTCTCCCACCCAAACCTAGAAGCCCATCCTTCATAAAGGGTGAAATGGAAGGTCCCCAGACAGAGTGGTCTCATGTGCTTCTCCAAGAACTAGTCCTTACAAAGTATGTGAGATGGAGCTTCAAAATCCTTGCTTCCAGAGACCAACTTGGTTTCACCCTCTGCAGGGCAGATCTGTTTGTTCTCTTTACAGTCTATTGTATGTTCCATACTCTTCTCCAGCAAGAGAAATCAAAGACATCGATTCTTCTTCTGCCATCCTTAGTCACCATCCAGCTCTCTGATGCACAGTAAGTAACTGCAAAAATCAGGGCATGATCAGGCACACCTTACCCTCTAGACTGGTATCTTTAGTTTTTAGAACTCTGGAGAGGTCTCTGGCAGCAGATTTTCCTAATTCAATTCATCTTTTCATTTCCTGGCTGCTGATGCAAAGAGTGTCAACTGTGGAACTGAGCAAGTTGAAATTGTTAACAATCTCAATCTCTTCTTCATCCATCATGGTGTTGCCAATAGTCCCAGTGGTGGGAATCTTTGTTTTCTTGATGTTGCGCTTCAATCC